GTTGTTACTATTAAAGACATGGAAACTTATAATGGTGTCTCATTTTTTACTTGTTTGCTACTTGTTTTAAATTTACCAAAAATGGTAGATGTAAAGGAATGTGCCGATTATTATATATAAATTATGTAAGTGATTCCAAAACTGGGGGGAAACCTTAAGGAATTGAGGTTTGTTAAGCATACAATGGATTTAATGGATATTAAAACCTCTTTTTTATTGTCAGTTTAGACATTAAAGATGCAATAGTTACAGTACATAAAAATTTAACATTTACTCACCCTCAGGCCATCCAAGACATAGATGAGTTTGTTTGTTTATTGGAACAGATTTGGAGAAATTTTGCATTGCATCACTTGCTCACCAATGGATCCTCTGCAGTGAATGGGTGCCATGAGAATGAGAGTCCAGACAGCTGATAAAAACATCACAATAATCCACAAGCAGTCCACATGACTCCAGTCCATCAATTAGCATCTTGTGAAGCGAAAAGCTGCCTTTTTTGCAGAAATCCATCATTAAGGGGATTTATCTTTAAACGAATATTTCTGGCTAAAATCCAAAAAGAGACAGCTGTTCGGACTCTCATTCTGACGGCGCCCATCCACTGCAGAGAATTCACTGGTAAGTGGTAAATTTCTCCAAATCTGTTCCAATGAAGAAACAAACTCATCTACATCTTGGATAGCCTGAGGATGAGTACATTTTAAGCACATTTTCATTTTTGGGTTAATTATTCTATTATTAATTAAGGGGTCATATGATGCTGCTAAAAAGAACATTATTTGGTGTATTTGGTGTAATGAAATGTGTTTATGCGGTTTAAGGTTCAAAAAACATGTCTGCATTTGTGATCGGAGAAATGACAAACTACAAGTGCTACTAACTCGCGTTTGAATCGTCAGTGGCAAATTCTTTCAGTCTGGCAAAATACAGTCTGTGAGTCAAGAGAAAGGAAAAATTTAAATCGCATCATATGACCCCTTTAATAGTAAATGTAGCACAATTCTATAGTACATTAGTTTTTCTACTCATTCGTCTCTGGAGGGTAAATAGCATGAAGTACCTCTGATCAGTGTCTTCATTCTGTTATCATTGAATATTTGGTTGGTGAAGCTTTATTTGAATTTTTATGCTTTAAAACAACAAATACACTGGGTGACTTAAAGTGTTTTTTTTTTTTTACATTTTCGAATCCGCCAACACATAGGAATCCTCAAATTTTATTTTACCCAAAGCTCTACAGCTGATACACATTTGTTCAAAAACAATGGGATCACTATGTCTCAGAGTATGATGTATTGATCAAGTGGAGGAATGAGAAACATTAGCCGTGTTTGGGTCTGTAGAGCTGCATCCCTCCTCGAGAGCAAGATCCTCTGTCTGTCGCTTTAGATATTCCATAGACGGGCAGGAATTATGGTATCGGTTTGTTTGTAAAGGCTGTTTGTCCCTTATTCCAGTAATTTCCATAAATCCGCTGGAGTTGGGGGAGGGTCAATGCTGCTGACGGCATCCTCCGTGGGCTTGTCTGCACGACAGTGACACTAAGCCCATTACGTTTCCATTATGTGCCTCAATTTCCCCCTGAGCTCTTCACTTTGACACGGACTCCTCTAAAATCATGTCCCATATTGCTCAGCTTTCTTTACTTAACGTTTATGCATTTTTACAAGTCGCCTCTCTGGATGCTTCCCTAACACCATTAGTGGCAGATGGTGGAGGTTTGTTACTCTCACTCTTCTTTCACTGTCTGTCCCTTTCACTTTCTCTCTTTATGTCTGTCTCTTTCTCTATTCAGCCGGTTGTCCAGCTTATAAATGGAATGGCATGTACTGGGCTACTCTTAATGCAATGCGTTACTCCACCCTCACTTAGAATTTGCCAGCCAGCAAAAAATGCTGAAAAATATCCCACTAATATCTCAAAAAAAAAAAAAAAAGGCTGTAGTAGGCTGACATATTTTTGTAAACCAACCCAAAAGTGTAATTACGTTTAATGTCACCAACAACCTCTATAGTCCCATTTAGCCAATTGTTAACAATGGTTTTACTGATGTATTAACCAGAAACCCATTCAAAAACCCACTGACTTCGAGGCGATGGAACTGGAAGAGCTAAAATGCAAACTCACAGGCGCACTATGCACTTATACACTATGTACATATGCACTATGTAGGCTACTTAACCGTGTAGTGTATGAAATAAGTAAGCGTACTGAGACGCACCTAGGCTACACCGAATATTACTAAATTTCAAACCACTGGATGGTGCATTGACCAATCAGAATCAAGTATTCCAGAGAGCCGAGTAATAAACATGAGTTCCAGTCAATTAAAGGCTGAGGTCATTCTGGTGCATTGAGTAGGCTATCAATTTGAGCACAGCTTCTTTATTACATCAAATGCAAATGAGAATACTGCCCACAAAGTTACACCTCTACAGTTATACTAACACGTGACCGTTTGTCCTTGCAAAATGACCCTTTCTTTATTTGTATGGCTGTTGAATTAAAATGCCAAACAAGATGCCAGTGAACGGCATCATACTCAAGAGAAAAATGCAGCCCAGATTAAATTTAGGCTGAATAACTATTTGCATGTTAATTTATTCCTTCTCACCCGGGAGGCTGGTGAATCCTTGGCTTCAGGAAGTTCGTAATAAAAGCTCGCAGATCGATGATAATGGCATTTGCGCTTGTGTTTGTCATCTTTGCAAAAGCAACAGTGCAGGAATTTGCTCAGATTTATATGTATACTAGTGCTGTAAGTGGCGTGTAAATTATCCCAGCTGTCTTTGTCGCTGTTTATCTTTGTAAGACTGAACTATTAAAGGCCGTACATTAATGGCCGCGGCAGCCCCAATCAATGGCTGAGTGAAATCAGCTTGTTTGTGGCGCGTTTCTCTGCTATTATTTTTTTCAGTTTTTTTTTTCATAAATATTGCTTTCATACCATTATATCGATACGTTTCCTATGTTTTCCAGTTAAGCACAGTCTAAAATATAACCTAACCATATTAATACTATAATTTTATTGTTTTAGATAACACATTTTGCCGCCTTTATGCTTAATGGGATAGTTCAGGCAGTGGTTTTGAGAAGCATATAACGTCAAACGTTTAATTGCACCTAGTGGTGTCTAGGCTATATACGTGATATATATCCATACATAAATATGTCGTTTTTGGTACATGGAATGCGCATTCCCATACAAATCGAATCCTCACATCAAAATCCACGTGTCCAAATTGTACTGCATCTTTTGCCTGTTGTATTTTACTCACAGTTGTGTTTCTGGCCGTTGGGAACGTCGGGCAGCCTGTTTGTCCTCATTTCACAGAGTAGTTTACAATTAGGTAACATTTAGAGGATTAGGGAAGGTTTGACTAAACAGCAATCTGCTCCAGTCTATGGAAGCAGAAGGATGAGCGTGTGGAGCCGGCGAACAGATGTGCGTCTGATGAAAGTTCCACATGTTTGTGTGTGTGTGGCGGCCGGGCTTTGCAGAAATGTTATTCCTTTGTTCCCGTAAAACCAAAATATATATACACATAGATGTTTTTGTAGTTAATAACCGCGAATTGATTTGTTGACGTGCACAATAGGCTACCACCAATTTACAAAACAATAAAAAACCTGTTGCTTGGAATATGCAAAGTGTTCAATATTAAAGGGGTCATATGATGCGATTTAAATTTTTCCTTTCTCTTTGGAGTGTTACAAGCTCTTGGTGCATAAAGAAGATCTGTAAAGTTGCAAAGACTAAAGTCTCAAATCCAAATCCGTCACACGCTTGAGGAATTTGGCCAATCACAACGCACTGGATAGCTGGCTAATCAGAGCACACCTCGCTTTTCAGACCGATTAGTTTTGTAAAAATCGACGCGTTTCAGAAAGGAGAAACAATAATGTACAGAATGTGTAAAATAATATGTTTTTTAAACTTTAAACCGCATAAACACATTTCATTACACCAAATACACAAAATAATGTTCTTTTTAGCAGCATCATATGACCCCTTTAAAACACTCCTGTGCGATTTATATTGCGAATACAATGAAGTAATTCAGGCAGCTAGAGCCCCTCATAAACACTTAAAAACCTTGCTTGGTCAATTCCTTTATATTTTGCGACCAAATGCCAGATTTAATTGAGATGCCATCATTAAACATGGTGACATCAGTAGTTGAGTTTAACGACTTCATGGTTGCTCAACACAAAGCCAGTGTTGTGACATTATGCATTTCTTATATATATATTAGGGAATTTTTTATTTATTTGTAATGTATTTGATTTTTTGAATGGAAATCAAATAATTTGCTACAAAAACAACTATTCTGTGTTATACTAAGCTGTTTAACTTTACATTCAAGATCAATAAAAGCATGTGAAGTAAATAAAAAAGAACATCGAAGTAACCCAAAGACGATTCGGCTTTATTTCTCCATATAGATTTAACTGTACACAATTCATACCATTGGACAGAAGGCATATAGGACTAAATTCAGTGCTCTTTTTTTTTTTTCAAAGATCCATAGCAATAAATAGTGCTCATGAAACAAGACTGTCGACACTTTTTGAGACTTTACAAAATTTACAGCCATTAAGACTCAACATAGATTCAACAAAACATTATTTGTGAATGGTTATTTTTCTTTTTTCTATGTTGCTCTTTGTTAGCTTATATGTTCACTCTTTCATCTTTACTCAGTTTGCCATTATGTGGGTCCAAATTTTGCCACAACAAATTTTCCTCATGTTTACAATTGTATCACCAGTTTTGTAGTTTTACATCAACTCACTACACTCTCTCCCATGATCCAACTCTTCATAATACTGACATTGGTACCCATAATAGGAATAAATAACACTAAATCCTCATAGTTGTTGCTTAAATGTGTCAAATAAGAAAAAAAAATACAGTGTAAATTTCCCTTTCACATGTTTTGCTTGATAATAATTGGTTAGGCCATTAAGGTACTTGTGTCTGTGTAATAGAAATCCACTTGTCATCTGCTCTGATATCCATTTTTGCTCATGGAGCAATGTGTAGGAAACAAATGGCAATTGAAAAACAAAGGTATTTTGATGGTAATATAAACCTTATCAATAATAAATATACTGGACTGTACCGGAAATAAATATTAACTTTAATTTTAATCTTTTAAACTATTTATTTTGTTTCATTTTGAGCTAAAATGTCTGAAGTTAACAGAAAAACATTGAACGGACAGGGACCATTTTTATGACAACTCAGAGCAGTGCATGCGGATTCATCCTTATTAAAAATAATTTTTATCTATTCTTCAGACCTAATGTGAAGGGCCATCTCTAGTAGAGCCGTTTAGAAAGTTTTAGCCATTAAAATCCCAAACCCTTGTAAGTAGGAAAGATACACTTGTGCCACTTGTTTAAATATCTCTCCTTGTTCGGTGCGCTCCTCTCTTTCCCGTATTCAGCCTGCCATGTGCAGTCGAGGAGGAACATACAGTAAAGTGCGTCGCCGACGGTTCTCTTCCTCATTCGGAAACATGCATGGACCCTCTTGTTCTCAAAAACGTGGTGGATCGTGATTGTTTTTCCAGGGTGGTCTGGGGTTTGAACGCCATTCGCAGCTGCACGCCATTTCATGCTGGAAATCGTCCAATCCAGTTTTGAGAACAATGAAAAAATATGAGTTACAAAACTATGATACAGCGCAGACATTCCACGGCGGGTTGCTCGTATCAGCGCGCCATTCAGCAAGGTCAAGCCACCGTGTTAAAGTAGGTGCCGTTTTGGGCCTTGCCGCACAAACTTCACCAGTTCTGGGAAAGATGTCTATAAAATCTTCAAATTTCTTGTCCATAGTACCGCACTTTCCATTATGACCTTTGACCTCAGAACTGGGAGTGGTCCATTTCATCGAGCCACGAGGCAGGGCTGGTGGGGAAGTCTGGGTAGCCCGTGCTGCTTCCTGTCGACAGGTCAGAGGTGGGTCCGCCGGCCATTGCTCTCAGAGCTTGACCTACATTGGGCTGACCGCCCTGACCCATGATGCCGTCCATATTGAAGCCTAAGTTGTTGAGCAGCGGGGTGTGGCCTGGGAGGGAAGTGATGGATGAGGGGGACTGTGGCAGGCCGTAGGGACTTCCTGACCGCAGGTCATGGTATGGCTGCCCACCCCCCTCCAGGGAGAAGCTCCCGTTAAGTATGTTGCCGTTCGTGACGTCTCCGACGCTTCCGTACAAGCCGTTAGCATGACCAAGGTCTGACAGGATCTGGTCTTCTGTTGGAGAGAGCAGACAAAATCAGTTTCAAGATTGTTTCCAAAAAAATACAACTACACTGGAAAAAATTGTTGTAGATACAATTTTCACTCAGAAATCGCTAGTAAATTTCACAATTATTTAGAAATAAATGCAAAGAAACACTGGATTAGAATTTTCTTGTAAAACTTTGAAAAAATAATTTTCTTTTCAACAGTTTGGGGTCAGTTAGTTTTCATTAAAAAAATATTATTTTATTTAGCAAAGATGCATTAAATAGATCAAAAGTGACAGTAAAGACATTTATAATGTTATAAAACTTTCTATTCATCAAAGAATCCTGAAAATAGTTTCCACAAAAACATTAAGCAGCACAGTATATTAGAATGATTTCTGAAGGATCATGTGACACTGAAGACTGCAGTAATTTCTGCGGATAATTCAGCTTTGCCATCACAGGAATAAATTACATTTTTAAATATATTAAAATATAAAACAGTTATTTCAAACTGTAATAATATTTCACAATATTACCATTTTTACTGAGCAAATTTGATCAAAAACATTTAAAAAAAACTTACTGACACCAAGCTTTTGAATGGTGGTGTATAGATGCTCTTACACATAGAAAAAGAATTGCAGTTATGACAAAGACCTCATAAATATCCTTTTTAAAAAAGAGGGTTACATGCTTCTGTAAATATCTGAGGCGCGATGAGCATTTGTGATTTACTCTCCGTACGCACAGGAGGAGTTCTTTCAACAACAACAAAGGCCCTGTGTGCTTCCTCTCTAATCGACTAAAAGCTTCACCAATTTTATAGAGTTTGTGCATCGCTGCTTTCATTTCTCGTAAACACGGCTCTAGACTTTTATGAGTTCTCAAAACGGGTTGACAAAAATGAAATAATCATTAAAAAAACACATAGCAGAACCAAAAACCTCATTTGTATATTCCAAACAATCCACCAAGTGGCATATTTTCAAAAGGCAAAGGAAATGAATGAATGAAGGGAAATAAAAGAAGAGAGAGAAAGACAAAGCAAGGCATCGTGGGAGATGTAAATAGACTCACCTCTGAAACTAAGTTCGCTATCGCTGAGTCCTGCATCATCGGCTGAGCTCTCCTTCTCCGTCTTACTGGACCCTCGACTGCGTTTGACGCTTTTGTAGAACTGACCCCAGCGGTGCCGACCAGCGTCCTTCTTCAGCCGTTTCTCTTTTGCTCGCCTGTTTTGAAACCACACCTGTGGATAGACAAGCCTCAGTAAAGACACCCATTTAATCATATAAAACACTTAAGCTTGAAGTCTGACTTGTAGTCTGACCTGCACTACTCTCATGTCCAGGCCCGTTTCTGAGGAGAGCTGCTCGCGCACATGTCGTGCAGGCTTAGGTGAGTTCTTGTAGGCGCTTTTGAGCGTCTCCAGCTGTTTGGCTGTGATGGTGGTTCGTGGACGTTTTGCTCCTGTCTCTGAATCATCTGTAAAAGTCAAATTTGAAGAACTTATTACAATTTTCATTACTGTGCTGCCATTGATTGGTCAAACTGCCCCACTTATTTGTGGCCCTGGAGCACAAAACCAGTCATAAGTAGCACGGGTATATTTGTAGCAATAGCCAACAATACATTGTATGGGTCAAAATTATTGATTTTTCTTTTATGCCCAAAATCATTAGGATATTAAGTAAAGATCATGTTCCATGAAGATATTTTGTAAATTTCCTACCGTAAATATATCAAAACTTAATTTGTGATTAGTAATATGCATTGCTAAGGACTTCATTTGGAGTTTTTGTTTACATAATATGTGTGTGTACTGTGTATATTTATTATGTATATATAAAGACACACACATACAGTATATATTTAGAAAATATTTACATGAATATATTTATATTCATATAATTTATATCATATATAAATATATTTAAAATATAAAAATAACTTATTTTTCTTAAATATATACACGCATGTGAGTGTATTTATATATACATAATAAATATACACAGTACACACACATATATTATGTACACAACAACTTTTATTTTGGATGCGTTGCCCAGCACTAATATTATTACAATTTAAAAACAATACATTGTATGGGTCAAAATTATAGATTTTTCTTTTATGCCAAAAATCATTAGGATATTAAGTAAAGATCATGTTCCATGAAGATATTTTGTAAATTTCCTACCGTAAATATATCAAAACTTAATTTGTGATTAGTAATATGCATTGCTAAGGACTTCATTTGGGCAACTTTAAAGGCGATTTTCTCAATATTTTTGAGATTTTCTCAATATTTTCAGATTCCAGATTTTCAAATAGTTGTATCTCGGACAAATATTGTCCTATCCTAACAAAAAACTAATTGCGATTAATTGCATCCAAAATAAAAGTTTTTGTGTACATAATATATGTGTGTACTGTGTATATTTATTATGTATATATAAAGACACACACATACAGTATATATTTAGAAAATATTTACATGAATAT